TAATGGTTAGCTGGACATGCTGATGAACATTATGATTGTTACATAAGCTTGGAGAAAGATATCGACTGCTTGAATAACAAATATCTATTTCTCCTAATTAACGTTAAAAAATAAAAAATAATTCATTTACCGACGCATAATCAATATAACAGTAAGATGTTACGAGATACATTTATATAATACCGAGTATTCATCATAAACACAGTCACAAGAACAATCACTATCATGACAATCATGATACCGATGACAATCAAATATTACACAACTCTCTCGTAATATTGCACAGTTTCATTTGTACGTGGTTGCCCGAGAACAGATTGGTAAATAAAGCATTTTACATCGTCATTTGCCTTAAACCACGAACTACAAGAAACAGACGATTATTCAAACAGACGATAAATTGATATGCCCCTCCAATATTATATAAAAATCATGTTCATCAGCATCAAGTTAATCATGATGGTAAGTCAGAAAACTCATGGCCAACATGATTATCAGCATGGTCCGTTATTGACATACTTAACTAGTTTTCTGAATAATCGCCTTATACTTGTCGTTTTGTTGACCGAACGATAGCGTGTTGTACTCTAGAAGCGAAATCCTATTGATCTGGTTATTGTCTGCATCATGAAGAATCCAGTGGTCCTCTCTGGTAGCATTAATACTACAAGGCAGCCGAAGTCATCTTCCTGAGATTAATCGCAGAACCCAAGTCTCGAAAGAGTTCAAAGCTGCCAATAAGTGAAATTCCCTGAATCCAATTTCTACTGAAAAGTGACAGCTGCGATGGTTATAATAGGAACTTCCAAAAACATAGTTTTGACCCAAGAGAAAACCTTGATTAAAATAACCTGAAAACAGTGGTCGATGATATTTTGTGCACACTCGGGGTGTCTCTTACTAACGCTACTACGCCGGCCACAAGAATAAACAGGCGGGCGATATCCAAAAGTAACTAAGACTAATGCAACTGCATTCATGATTCCCAATGAAGCAAATGCACTGCAGTTCC